TTGGGTTCAAAGGGGTGCATACAGTTGCCCCAAGTTCCATGAGAGCCTGATTGAAGTCCCCAGGACGAACAGGATCAACCAACTGAGCTGCTAATTTCCTTAATCTCCAATTCCAACCCAACAAGAAAGAGTAAATGAAAAGAAATACAAAATTGATTATAAAATAAATATATAGTGCCAGTAAAAAATTAGCAAAACTAACTATTGTTAGGCACAACCAATTAAAAAAAGCCACCTCTTTTAGGTTTTAGAGACACATCATATCTGATAAGAAACTCAGAGATTCCACTCTACTCAATTATCTGTGCCGTACATGTGTATCCCCATTAGTTGTGGAAAAGAATGCAAGATAGATTTAGAATGTGTAATTTGATGCAAAAACAAAAAAAAAAAAAGAAAAAAGCTTCTTTCTTTCCCATTGTTTCTTAACTGGGTAAAAGATTTGCTGAGAACTGAAATATGAAAACTATAATTTGTTCCAAAAGTTGACATAAACTCACCAAAATCTCTTAACAGTCGCTGAGTCTTTTGGATTTGCAGAAACAGCCCTTAGTCTAGCAATCACCCTTACCACATTTCCATCAACAACAGGTACCACCTGATAACGTAAAGCATGAGAAATAACAATTTTTTATGGAAGCACAATCACAGAAACTGCCCACCTCTTTAAATGCAATAGAAGCAATTGCTCCAGATGTGTAGTCTCCAATTCCAGGAATCTTTCGTAGCATGGAAGCCACTTTAGGAATTTTGCCACCTTCTGCAACTACTTTCTTTGCCCCCTGACAGCAGATATGGAAAGAATCTGGTCAAACCTTGCAGCATATATTGGTAAAAACTAAATTATCCCTTGTTGATGTACACTTTTACTTTCTTCAAGTAGGACTTTCATTCTCATTATCATTACACAACAACATCAGATTGAAGGTCTTTCACATATATCAAATTCAGAAACAAAGTTCTTCAACAAGACATTAAAGATCTTGACATGAAAGGCTTCAGATACTCTATGTTTGCAATATCCAGTTCATGAACTATGAGATTGTGATGCATGCATTCAATGACTTGCCTTTTTCTGCTTTTACAAAGAAGGCAGAAACTACATAATGAAGAAGGTTTAACACCATAATTAACTATTTCAAAAACAATCTCAAATTGACCATTAGGGTAACTTGTAGGATCTAGTAAAAGATAAACAGGAGAAGGAGATGAAAACACAAGTTAATTGTCATGAAGGACCTCTAGAAGAAAACGAGCTCTTCGGTAGTAGCCCAAACCTGCCCACATCTCATTTACTTCCTGCACAAAAATGGCAATAATCACATGGTGAGTATACAATTAGTCTTCAAATCACAATAACGGCTTTTAGTTTTTAATAAGTTCACACAAAGAAAACAAAATTTCAGAAAAAAAAAAAAACAGAGAGAACAAAGAAATCAGAAGAAATAATATGGTACTGCTATCTACAGTGGTCCAAAACACATAGGGTTTCAGAGGCTCCTAAATGTATGGAGTGGGTGCCTGCAGCCCATTCTGCCTTCAGAAACCTTCAACAGCCTTGCTTGCAAAACTGTAATGCAAAGCTCCCTTTCTTCTCTTACGAAGCCCTCTAGCCCTAAAACATTGGCTCCAATAATAATATTAAACCGAGCAACAGTAAACAAAATAAAGATCAACCACCTTGAAGCAGAGCAGCACTCACTACCATCAACTTATTTTGTCAAATTGTAAAACAGACATAAACAAAATTCAAAAACTATCAACTAGAATGTGAAATATGGGATCAAGTTACCTGCCCCAAAGAACGTAACTTGTTAAAACCAGAACATCAAAGCATAAATAAAGTCTTGCCCATTTTAATGACAATCCCCCAAACTCTAAAAGAAAGGAACTTGATAACGGATTAACATTTAAAGTTGCATTGATGTTCAAATAGTACAACAACATCCCATCAAAATTCACATTAAAAAAACACTTTTTTGAAGAAAAATGAAAAGAGGGAGTGGAAAAGCAAAGGAACAAAACCTCGAGAGAAGCACTTAGTGTGCAAGATGGTAAATGGTGGGCCATTTTTGCATCCAACGATTGTAATACGTAATAACAGTCTGAACCCTTGTCTGCTGAAGCATAACCTCCGAAACCCACACCCCATAAGCTCTTCTTTCGACTTCTTCTTCTTCTTCTTGTTTTTCTTCATCTTCACATAGATGTGATCTCCAAGGAAGGTCCCTACGGTTGAGGTCGTACCAGTTCAAAAGGGACTGTCTCAGTTTGTGAGTCTCGTCTTTGGAGAATGACATAACGTCCCTCTATGTCCACTTCCACCAAAGGTTGAGGCTTTTTGCTCGCCCCAACGTTCTCTTCCACGCATATTCTTCTTCTTCTCTGACATGTTGGAACTTAGTGGCGATGGTGATAATGAAAAACTGAAATTAACTCCATCAGAATAGAAAGAGTTGGGTAAGAAAAAAGAAATACAAAACGGAAGTTTAGCCTCCAGGTCAAAATTTTGAAAAGACGCGGAAGTACATGTTTCGTCTCAAGAGAACATTTATGTAGCAAGGAAAAAACACTATGTTAAATTGATAAGTCAATTCCATTTTTGTTTATCTTCAATTTGGTTTTCAACTTTTTATTTTAGAATTATTTTCTATCAGCTTAGTTGCACATATTTTCTAATGTGAAGTAATTATTCGGTCTGGTGTAAAATGTATGTTATGCTTTAAATTACATAATTTATTTTTATTTTCTATGATTTTTATGAAATTTATGGCCAAAGTTGAATATGTGAGGAATTTTTGTTCTCATGACTTATATTTGATTCATTATATATTGAAAAATGTTTTTTTGTAATTTAGGATTGAAATAAAATATTTAAAGAAACTTGTATTTTAAAATAGAGCTTAATTAATTCATTAGTTGTTTTAATTTTTAGTTGTTAAAAAAAATTATTTGTTAAGAGTTCAAAGAATTCACTCTTAACAAATTTATGGATTGATTTGACATTAAAATAAAAAGAAATTAGTAAGTATATGAGACATCATTGAAAAAAAAAGTTTTTGATGTTTGTTATTTTAAACATTTAAAGTTCAATCTAGCCTCCATATCTTAGTGGGAGACGTCAATTTAACATCAGCTCCGAAACAACTGATGTTAACTCACGCTAAGCGTGCTCCTGGCTGAGGGTGAAATACCTGGTTGGCCCCTGAAAGCATTTAGACATTGGACTATGCATTATCAAACTTCAATTGACGTTGGTTTTGACACTAACCGACATCTATTTTGTTTTTCTTAAATAACTTTTTTTTTCAATAAAATCATATATAAAATACAGAAAATTATCTCAGCACATCACAAAATTATATATATTGTGTGTTTCAAGTAATTATAATAAACAATCTAAAAAGCAATCCAAAACTTAAACTATCAAAAGTAAGCTAATTAATGTATTCAACAACAGTTCATAAAGTTATGGCCATGGGTCCTAAGTCCATCCCTATAGAAGATAAGTTGCTCATTCTTATCGTATCTTCCTAATTGTGTTATCTGCTATAGGTAATGTGTTCTTAAAACGCTGCAAAATTAAGTCAAATTCATTACGTTTGCATACAAATGTTCAAAGTTGAAATTTGATTTGTAATGTATGGAAGGTAAGTATCATTACCTCAATCCAGTCATATGTAATTTCTACTTTTGAATATGGTTTTAATCTAAGACATGACATAGTAGCCACATTCTCATGAATCTAATTGTTTATTCACTAAAATGACAAACTAAATACTCACACATGTAGATCATTAGGGATGACAAAAAAATTCACACTCGCAGATAAAATCCGTGACGGATAATTACTATCTACGCATATTTATTACCCACAGGTAACGGGTAACGAGTATTTTACGAATACTCATTACTCGCAAAAAAATAATAATAATAAGATTTAAACTCTCATTTGGTCCTCATATTTGTTGGTCAATCTCAAGTGGGTCATTTTTTTTTTCGGTCTCAATTGAGTCCATAAATTTTTAAATTATCTTAATTAAGTCCAAATATTTGAAAAAGCCATGTCAGCTAAGTTTTCACAAACGACATTAAAATTGGCTGACATAGTGTACACTTAATGTGCTGACGTAAAACTATTTAACGTTTATTTCATTACTTCTAATATTCTCATGTAAACCTCTAATGGTAGTTCATTGGTTACCTGAAAAAAAAAATGCCCGACCCGACCGACCCGACCCGTTAGTATATACTGATGAGTTGGTTTTGCAATAAAGCTAGAAAAAGTGGAGGGTGTTGCTCCCTCCACCTCCAGAGTCTTCTCCCTCCACCTCCCCAATTATCTTTAATTCCAATTATATCCTTAAAGTTAAAATTTTTTATTTTTATTATTTTAATATTTTAATATTTAAATATAAACTAATATAAATATACATTATTAAAATACATTAAAAAGATATTCAAAAATAATAAATCAAAATATTAAAATATCTAATAAAATAATAACAGAAACATAAAATTAAAACAAAGCTTAAACGGATGACATCCTTCAACGGATGTCAACATCCGTTTAAGGCGAAACGGATGTCGATGTTGACATCCGTTGAAGGATGTCATCCGTTTAGGCTTCGTTTTCATTTTACGTTTTAGGGTTAAAGGATTATTGGAAAGATTATTGGAAGGATTATTGGAAGGGTTTAGGGTTTAGGGTTTAGGATTATTGGAAGGATTATGACTACGTACCTGGAGAGGAACCACGACAAGCACATTACACCACAAACGCACTGCACCACGTACTGCACCGAAAGCAAGAGGAAGATTGCTTGATAATTCTTTTCACGATCACTGAGCTTTGCAGAAAAATATTTTACTCATACAAGGAACTACGTAGGTTATCAGTGAAATATGTTATAAATGAGTAAAATTAAAAAACAATAATTCTAAAAATAAAATTTTACTGAGGGGCAAAATAGTAAAGGGGAGGTGGAGGGAGAAGGCTGTGGTGGTGGAGGGAGCAACACCC